GGCACATACATTCATTTGTGGACCTGAGCATAAACTCAATGGAGTGCTACTGTGTGCTGTTTAACTCCAGATTTTGGGAACTCAGTCCACTATACTTTAGCAGAGACTTAATTAATATTTGTTAACCGCTGTGGATAGAAGGCAGTGTAGGCATGCATAGCACTCACTACATTGTCTCGCAGAGGCCCAGAGTCGGGCTTTATCTATATCATTACAGTTTTAATACGTCAGTGAAACCTACGTTTCCACTAAGTGGCTCTGTTCCCCTGATCTAAAATCTTATTTGGGCAGCTGAGAGACCATGTTGAGCATGTGTGGCCTGGCAACCCCTCTGATACCTTCTGAAGGCTGAAAAAGGCTGAAAATGCAAACCAGCCCCACCCTGCACCAGCCACAATAAGCAGCAGAAAGGAACCACCTGGACTGCAGCCATCTAATGTGGTGACATACATTATTTACATAGTTACTGTGAAACATTGTCTGCTGTCCTGCTGCAGCTATGCAAGAATGTTCCTGGAAATTATGGCAAATGTGCTGTCACTTACATAATTAATACCTTCTGCTGGGCAGTGTTTGTAACTCTGAATTTGCCACCTACCTGTCCTTAAATGACTTTCTCAACAACATTCTGATATTCAGTGCTGCCTAAGATTAATGAGCAAAGAATGTGGGCCAAGTCCTTTGGCTGCCGCCAGTGAGAGGGAAAGTTGTCAGGAAGCCAGAACTGGCTCCCTGACTCCCTTACAGGTCTTAACCCTGACAATGGTTAGCACAACCTACGGCAGTGTTTCTTAAACTTTTTAAGATGGAGGAACACCAAACAATAATTTTTTTTATGAGAAAAAAAAAATACTCATAGCATATGCCGAGGGCTACAACCTAAGTGTGATTCCAAATACATGCAAATATATATGAAAATATATGCAAATAGCTTATTTCACACTGACAGATATGAATAGAAAGATTAAAGCAAGACTACACAACACGCAGGCTCCATTTAAGTCAGTTCTGCTGTTATTAATAAAATGCAATATTCACCCGATTTCCATCCATATGACAGCACTTTTCATGAGCAATGAAAGTCCAGGAATTTAACTACTAAAACCGCATATCAACAGAAGACCGTTATATTGACTTCTTTACTTTTTTGTTTTTGCTCCCACCTGCGGGCCACATGTTGAGCACCGTGTAAACCCAAACCGAACCGTGGGCCACAAACAAACAGGCCGTGTGCCGCATACTGTCCACGGGCCGTGTATTGAATAGCACCGCACTAGGGGCTGCAAAGAGGGTAGCTTTGGAGCCAGCTACTCCAAATCCACAACCCACTTCTAAGGACTACCCACCTGCTAGGGCATCATCCTGAGCTGCACAGGTTGTGACAGGCCATGTATATGACATGGCACTGCTCACTGCAGGCTATGGAAACTAAGTGGTGCCTGATACCAGAACAGTAGCTTTGATACATTCTTTTCTTCTCAGCCATACCAAATCATCCAAATTCTCCTTCGGCATGGACTTGTCTTCACTTTCATATGAGACAGCTAATGCTGCTGCTGCTATGGTCTGACCTCCTGACTTATGACCGCTTTTACCTGCAAGTAACCTGCAAGTCTTATTTCATTGCTTATCTGCTCTTGGCCTTTGCACTGTCTGGCACTCCTCAGTTTTTGGATCTTTTTGTTTTCTATAAAGATACCATTTCCAACCCTCCCCCCTTTTTTTTCCTCACAAGCCAGAGGGACAGCAGATCCAATTACTCTTAAGAACTCCATATTCAAACAATTTTCCATTGAGGAGAGAAACAGTTTTGCCCGAATAAAGATTATAAAATAAGGGCCAGTGTGATTCAGATCAAATTAGGCACCAGATTGGAGACGGTGTTACAAATCATTATTCACATGAGCTGCTGTATTGCTTCCATTGTGGCCATTAATATGAGTATTGAACAGTGACATAAGGGCCCACGTTTCATTTCTGACCTTCAACTCTGTTGCCATCATCAGTTACTGAAAACTACAACCACCCAATTGAATTGTTGAAGCAAAATCTTAAAGGCAGGAACAAGGTGCACAGCAGCCTTCATGCCACAAAACAGAAGGGTAAGGTTTATTTTCTGCTTCAAGGCTAGTAATTCAATAGCTGTACAAGCAGGAAAGGGCTTTATTAGCATGAGTTTCAGATAGCCACAAGTAAGTTAATCAGACTGTCACAAAAAACTGCCCATAAAAACTTCATACCTCATCTCCCCATCCAATACATTTGTATCTCTTATGCATTCTGCCCACTCGTATCTATAACAGACTTCTTTAGAAATGTGGTTGAAAGATTTTTTTTATTTTTTGTATTCTTCCCCCTAATTATAATTCTGCTTCTGTATCTGAGATACAGTTTGGGGTCAACTCTAGAGGGATCAAAATGAGCCACAAAATGTCACAATATTAATATCCATTACCTTGGGTTTATCCAGGACTAGAAGGAAGTGGTCCACTGGGTTGCTGGGATTCTTCTTGTTCTGTCAGTAAAAATATCCTTGTGCCTATCCCTGTCAGGGCAAACCTTATCCTCTCTCCCCATATCCTATCCTTGCCACATGGCTGAATATCCATTCATGACTTTCATGGGAGCAAAATTTAATATTTGGGGAGGAAACAAAATAATTTGTTGTGGCCCGTGATTTTTTTTCTTAAATATGGCAGCTGCGTAACACTGCTCAGAGGTTTGGAATGCTGAAAGCAGCCCCGAGGGAGATGGATTAGTGAGCAGAGGGCAGGTGAGGTGATCAAAAGTGCATGATAAATTGCAGAACTATGTGACAAAAGACTTATTTATCACATGGCTGCACAATTTGTCACATGGCTACCACAACAGACCTTTCCCATTTCTAGGGAGAAGGCAATGGATTTTAGTGGAAGTTGCTTACTATGTCAGCAGCAGGGTTAGGTCTAGTAGCAGGGTAGGGCTAGGGCTCCCATCTGGGAGCTGCAGCAGAGGAGGCCTGAGGAGATGGACTCATAAGATGCAAAGCTGCTAGGCTGTGGGAGGAAGAGGAACTCCCTGTTATGTTTCCTCATATTTTTTCAACTCGGGGGGATAGAGCAAAGGAACAGCTATGCACTTCCCTTCATGCCTTGCTCCCCTCTCCCTCCCCCCCCCCCCCCGCCACTGCACTTTGTAACTGTCTGTGATTTGTCCTTTTCATATTTGTTCATTTTTTTTGTGCCTTGCCCAAAAACTCTGCAAGACTTCAGACTGGAGTTCCATGTGGATTCTACAACACAGCATGGAATGGAGGCCTGGTGTCCTAACCTAGCACCCTAGCTACAGGCACATCCTTCGTCTCCTGTGCCTTGCCCCACCCTCTTTAAAAAAAAAAAAAAAAAAAGTCTGACCGCTCAGAAAAGAAGGGGTGTGTGCCTCTTAACCCATCTCCTGCCAACATCTGGCAAACTTCTTTCTTTCTTTCACAAGAATGTCTTGGTGGGGCAGATAAGCAGATATTTCTATTAATTTTTTGTTATCAAGCTCACTAAGGTAACTGAAGCTCCTAGTTGAGTGATTTATTATCCAAAGCAAGCTAGATAGAGCATGCCTTTCATGAACTGTAACCAGCACTACAGGAGAGGAGACTTGTAAGCAGGAAGGTTGCTGCTAGCTATTCTATTTTCAGTAGACAATTGAAGCAACAATAGGGAGTGTCCTAGCTTTTTCTTGAATAATTTTTAAAATGAGCAAGGTGCTGAGCAGTTGAGCAGAGAGCCTCCTCCTGTGTCAGGTATTAGTATTCTGTATATTTCTATGAGGTTCAAAATAGATTGGGGAAGAGGCCAAGGAGCACCTGTTTCCCCCTCAGAAGTGGGAAGTTCTTTTGTCCCCCTCCCCAGGGAGAGGGGAAGCTGGGAAACCTGAAGTATCAGTTGGCATCTTTGAGGCTCCTGCTGGTGCCTCCAAAGCAGCTGGCACTTTGAGAGTAAGTGCGACATCTCTCAGGTGGGCTGTGCTTCAGGGGGAAGTTTGGTGGCTAGTGAGCTTTGCCCGGTGCCTGTATATGGCAGGGATCATGCTGCAGGCCAATAGCACCTGTATTTACCCTCTGTGGTACAGCAAGGACATTCAGTCTCAGGGTTCCAGATTCCCAGCTGTTGCCTTTCTTGGGTGGAAACCCCTGTCTCTCTCCTTTCTGACCAGGTATTCTCAGACTGTACTGTTCCCTGCTTTTGCTGTGTCATTGCCAGCACAGACAGGCTGGCCTAGGTCCTCAGCTTGTTTTCTCCTCAGAGAAGGAGAGTAGGGTAGTTGCTATAGATATGTTACCACATGGTTCTTTTCAAGAAGGCCAAATTTGTTCTTAAGATACAAAACATTGTAGAGACAACTTATTGGCAACAATAGAAGAACCTACCTGCATGCTAATGAGCTTGCCAGAGTTCATCCTAGTTGTCACATGGGCTATGGCAAGTGCAGTGTTAATACTCAGTCTTGGGAGCATGCTTACAAGTTGACAGGCGCTTCAGCTCCAAACAAGAATATTCACACGGGCAGCTCTCTCTTTATCCAGTGGCAAGATCTTTGCTCTGGAGTTTTTAGAAGCACATAGGTAGTGTACAAAGGGTGTATCTCTCTCGGTGGCCTATATTCAAAAGGCTTTGGGGGACATGTGGGGAGTGTGTTTGCATTTCCTTCACTTCAAGCTATTTCCAAAGGACATCTGCCTTACACCACGAGCTTCCTCATAGATTACTTTACCAGGAAGACAAGATTAATGCACTCTCCCAGTAGTGCATGTGAACTCCAAAGGCTTTAATCCTAATTCAATAAATTGCAATTTAATTCAGAAATGTTATCTCATATGGTTTTTTCAGAATATTTTTGTCAATTCATCACATCAGAGTCTTTAGCCTTTTGCAGGAGGCAAAGTGAGGAGATATTGAGACACTAAGATCAAGAAAAGAAAAACACTGGAGAAATGTCAGCTAAAAGCTCAACTTGGTATTTTGCAGCTAATGAGGAAGAAACATCGCACTGTTTGGATAATGCTCGTTCAGAGTTTACTCCGGCTTCTCTCCTGGGTCCTCACATCACTAGACTTTCCTCTACAGTGGTCTCCTCAGCACCACTGTCCACATCCCATGCACGCAACTGGCTCATAGCTCTCTTCTGCAGTATGACTGACAACAGCTTGGCTCTGAAGGCTTCCCTTCCTCCTGTCTCAGGTAAATATGGCCCCTCAGCTTTCCCAACCCCTCCATGATCAACTCCCACCTCATGTAAATAAAGGCCCCTATACAGGGCAGCCCTCTGCTGGCCAATTGCAAGTCAAGATGTATGTGTGACTTGTGAGGAAATAAGAAAATAATCACCCAGCCAAACTCTCACTGATGAAATGAACAGCATAGTCCTTCAGACACGACCAAGAATGTCTGAAGTGCAGCTCCCAACCTTCTGCCCTTGCTCCTGTTCCTCCTTCCAAAGGCTTCTGGCTCCAGAAAACTCAGCTACTTAATGGAATGTGACTACGCCAGAGGAGTGGCACCAGCATGACTGTGGAAGTACAGCTCATGCTCTCTCCTCATAATACCCCATTAGCTATTAATTCTGTTGGGATATGTAAGAATTAATAGGGGTCTGGGGATGGCTATACATTAGAGGTAGGGCTCTGGCCAGAGCAGGCATTGTCCTTTGAACATGTTTTTTCCCCTTTGTTCTTGCAGTCTGGAAAGATAGATAAAAGGCCCAGCCAAAGTAGGTATTATCCTTTCTAATGTATAAATATGCTATTCCCTTCGTTTTTGCAGCCTAGAAAGATAGATAAGCACACAGCTGCTCTTCTTTATTTTGTCTCTTGCTTATTCTTATTTGCTCTGTAAAAATATTTTCAGGGTCACATCCTTTGTAATCTCTGGAAAATGTTGGTAGGAAAGTGTTGATTTAATTAGAAATTATGTAAACAGTAATTAGGGGTGGGTATAATAATATTCATCACCTGCCTGTTAATATTCATTGTATAGGAATTAATATTACTAAATAAGGATTTAGGGGAAATGGTGATAGACATGTGATTTAACATACTAAAATGGATAAAAGCATGTAATTGGTGCCTAGTTATTGCTCACTCAAAAAGTTGTGTTGGAAGTCCAAGGGGAATAAGTATCTACAACTAAGAGGTCCATTTGCTCCCTCTGGATTGCCTGTTTGTTCTCTAACAAATTCTGTGATAGATGGTTAGGTGGGAGCAATATGTGGAATGGTTCAGGACCTGTTTCTTTTGTCCACTCCCCACTATGGCTCCAACCAGCTGTGTTGGCTAATATGGAGAGGGAAACAGGCTGCATCATCTCCTATGGCAGCATAGTTCCTGAGCCAGCATGTGCTTGTTGAAAGCACCAGAAGGAATTCTTGGGGAGCCCAGCTGAGGCATGGGCTCTCCTCAATCTTTGCCTTCAAAATGCTTGAGGGCAATAAAGTCTTTTGTCTCATAATTCTGTAATATATCCGCACCAAAAAAATGTGTTTCTTGACAAGCTTTATAGATGGTCCAGAGTTTTCCAAATTTTGACTTTTTGATTACCCCTCCAGCAATACTGATGTTTTTAAATCAACATCTCACCAATTAGTTAAAATATTAAGGACTCAAAAGTCAGGAAATTCCATCATCTAAGAGAAATCTTGGGGCACATATAAACATAAGGTATGCCTACACTTGCACCCTCGTTCGAAGTAGGGATGCAAATGTAGGCATTCGACGTAGTCAATGAAGCGGGGATTTTTTTGAGCAAAAAATGAGGTGCAACGTTAGTTCAAACCAAGGGGTTTGGTTCGAAGTAACGCGTCCCGGCGTGCACTTTCACTTTCGAAACAGCTGTTGATCGGAGTAACGCGCTGGTGAGATCATGCTAATGAAGTGCAGGATATTTAAATCCCCGCTTCATTGACTATTTCGAATGCCTACATTTGCATCCCTAGTTCAAACAAGGTTGCAAGTGTAGACATATCCTAACAGATTTATTGTAGCATAAACTCTCATGGGCAAAGACCCACTTCATCAGATGCATGTAGTGGAAATTCAAGAGGCAGGTATAAATATACAGACACATGAAAAGAAAAAAGTACAAATCAATTCTCAAAGTTCCACTATATGCATCTGACAAAGTGGGTCTTTGCTCACAAAAGCTTATACTACAATAAATCTATTAGTCTATTACAGGGGTTGCTATTACAGGCAAAAAGCCAAAATAGTTGTGAATATAGTGCAAAGAGCCGGGGGAGGGGAAAAAAAAAAAAAGAGGACTGCCCCAGGACTGCCCCTTTAAGAGACACATTTAGAGGCTTTTTGGCCACATCAGGCTCCTGTCGGCCAACACCATCTTTTTTTAATGGCCACACTGGATGGCTCCCCTGCCCCAGAGAGCACAGGGAGCTGGGGGTTGTTTT